CAAATATTTTCTTTAATACTTTACTTGCACTTTTTGACCATTACAAACGCAACAGAAAATTATCCAAATAAGTAATGCACATACATACATTCGGCAATTAATTATTTTTTATAAAGATTAGATGTTAATTATTCAAATAAAGAAATAATTAAGTGAAACAGTGCTGCAACCGTGAAAACCACGATAAATATAATACTCCCCAGCCTGTATTGCATTGCTTGCGATTAGTGAACAAGTGGCGTTGGTGGTGTTATGACGTAGCGGTGGTGTGTTCGTATCAATTAGTTCGTCTATTTGGACTACGTACCACGAACACGCGATCACCCAACTACACGATGCCCTCTATAAATCAGTCCACCCACGAACATGTTGTTCAACAGATCTGTTAGTTCCCGCCTCAGGAACGAAAAAAAGGAAATTGTCCTTGGTAAAAACTTTTGGTGTTTGCTAGAGATCATATGCTTTTGTTTGTAAATAGTAATTATGATTGTTTGGTGAAGTTTTTACTTTTGGCTGCCACAAAGGTATGCGATTTTATGAAAAGTGTATGTCGTATACGGTTTTAATAGATATATAGACTTCAGTAGAAGGTCATTGCGTGAATACGTGTAATAAACTATTAGTTTATATATTTTCTACCTATATACACATTCCAAATGTTAGAATGTGTAATATATTAAAACGTCAAGTTGACATTAATATTGCACAGTCGACATGAAAGCTGAATACATTCGTAAAATTTCGTTCTCCCAGCGTAAAAAATTTTTTAATCTAAGAAGCATTTCAATCATCACTGTGGTATTTATTGCCTATGAAATATTCATTGATATAAAAACTGTTCAATGTCTATACTAGTGATGTAACTATATGCTACTTTTACAAATATTGATTGTATTCGCTAAATACGAATACCAAATAGGTATTAAAAAAAAACACGCTATATATAATTCCAAGTAATTTAATAATAAAAATTTAACTGCCAATAAAATTTTAATGGCACCAATTCAGATATTACTCGATATTGCAAGAGTAAAACTTACCGGTGGTTAATTTTTAATTATAGAAACCTAATATTTGCAAACGGAGAACAATGGCGGAAGACATTTTTTTCTGCACAGTGAAAAATATTATAGAAATATTAGAAAGTTAGTTTTGGAAACCTCAGAAAACTTCTGTCATCAGAATCGAAATGAATCTGGAAACGTAACTATTTGCACGAATATCATGAAGATATTCGGTGAATACGAATATTCGTATTCACCGCATTGTAGTGTACGACCGTAATTGTGTATTGAGCATTCCACTCAGCCGGATCGAATACGTCAATGAATCATCCACCGTGACTGTTTGCTATTAAAACCTAGCCTAGTTTATTGATAAGAATAAAAAAGTGCAAATTTTGATTGAACCATTTTTTTTAAATACATATGTCTAAATGTTTTGGTTTCATTTTATTAATTAACTAAAGTTAACTAAATGTATATTAGTAGGTACGAACCCTGCGTAAGCTAACTAATACTACAGTTTGCTGGTTACATAAATCACCAAATCACTATTGGTATTATATAATATATAATCGTCTTATATAAGTAATATTAATAATAATAGTTGATTTCTGAGTATTGACTTAGAAGTCAACTATTTAATATATTTTTTATTTAATACAATCATCTTTAAACATTCAGTTTAAACCTTACTTCTTAAATAGGTAAATCCTAAACTTTACTATTCATTAAGTGATTTTTAAGTATTCATGAATAAATCAAAATAGCGTTGACATAAATATCATATCAAAATAGAGTTCTCTTTATTATCATTTCAGCCGTTACTTGTTCATTACTAAAGCTTCCTTCGTAGATTACTTTAAGGTGCCAGAGCCACTTAAAACCGTCAGATGGACGACAACCTTTTATTCAAAATGCCTTGGTTTGACTACTGACTCTTATATCATTCAAATCCAAGTACAACAGCATTGCTCTATGATATAAAAAAATTCCGCTAATAAAATAATAGTATAGGATATATATAAGCTTTAACATAATCGCAATATTTTAATATAGAAAAAAAAAAAACTTGGATTAATGTCTACAAGTTTGATCAAACTCTTGTATGTTGTATATGTATAACATATTTAGGTAACGGGGTCACTTTGTTCAGACACGGTCTAATATTGTACATAAACGTAAGCTAGTTTCATTAAAGGATAGTTTAATTGTTTGGAAATGTGTGGGTTTAGAGACTTTCAACGCAAATTATTAATATCGGCGTCACAATGGTTAATAATGAATTGTTTAATAGCGGCGGCCATCGGCTACGTCAATAGTTAATGAATTCACTGCATGGTGTTTTATTGATTTTAACATCGTCAAACAGGTGCATCGGTATACATAATACCAAGAATACATACTACTAAAAATGTCTTCTTGGTAGTAACAGTAACTGAGTATGGTGTTAAGAGTCTTGACAGTTATGTGAATATCCCAAATTGAAGTAATACATCTTTGTAGTACTCCTAATATTCGTAGAATTATCCATCCAAGTTTATTACATTTCCGCTAGGAATCTAGAACACCGTAACACTATAAAGTAACAAAAGTAACTTGCCTATCACAACTGGGCTTTCGATTAACCATTAATTCATACTGCGAATCTTTCGTTTGTTGAATCGATCAGAACCACAGCAGGCATCAGTTACCTCAGTGATTGATTGTGTTTGTTCTTTACTTTGATGAATAAACGCTTAAAGATTTTTTGATGGAACGTAACTTATCTTGATGCTGTTATTATATTGCTTGATGGTATATATCTTTGATTCATCCAAGAAGTTAATAGCGCGTGGAGGGATCTCGTAGTTCCAGTGGCGCGGCGGCTACAGCTACGACAGCGCGACAATGTACACGCTAATGATGTTGACACTAGAGGCGCTAGGCAGGCTCGGTTCGTTTAGTCCGTCTCCCCCCTACCTTCCTTCCACCCTACCCTGCGCCTTCCCCGCGCACAACCCACCACTGCACTTAACCTCATACGTCTCCACCAAATGTAACGCTCCTGAAATATGCTTAAATTGTATTATGGCATGTTAATGTCTCTACTTTAACATAACGGAATCAACCCTTAAGTTTCTTAGAAGTTTTAATTTGACACTTTGTAATTGAGCAATGGAGTGTTTACAAGTTTTCCGTTTCACATTTTCTGCTTTAATTACGTTTGCGGTGTATGAGATTTATTCTCAGATAAATAAAGAAACGTTAATTCTAAATTATAATTTTTCGCTTGTTTGTTGATAGTTGAAAGGTAACAATTTCAAGTTTTGTGAGTATAATTGTCTTTGTAGCAAGTAATCGGCTGAAAACATTGTCACTAATGAAGTATCATTATTATTAGTCTTGTAATAGCGAATACACAAAAAGTGAATAAATGCTAATACAGACGCTAATTTGTCGAAGAGATTTTTTTACGTCCTATGTAGGACTGATAAGTATCTGTATGTACTTATCTACGCTATGGTAATTATGGAAAATATAACAATTTTTAGCATACGGTAAAGCTATTCAAATTGGTCTCTTTGTTACATTTTTAATTATTGTTTATCTACCACAACTACCACACACTTACCATACCACAACTTATCACATTTTTAGGTTTTGATTGATTAAGTACCTGCGATATTTAATTCTGATTTTATTTTGAACCTTTTTTGAGGGCAACAATAAAAAGTTTTCATTCATTAGTTAATAATGAGATTTTCTTATAAAATTATTTGCTAATATTTGTATTGTTTTCGAGAAATGATATTAAAAATATCAGTTATGCTTTAAAAGACATACTGAAATGATTACCTTATACGACATATAACAGTTGTCAGTTTGCTATAAGTACTATGCCCTTCATAAAAAAAACCTGGCGTTAAGATAAATTTATATTCATAAATTCAAGTTAATAATCACACCACTACGTACCACAGCTAATATAAAACTATACTAGACCCTTTCACCGTCGCATGTTACTATGTTATATATAACAATAGTATTCAGTGAAAAATGTCTCACTATTTAATGTATTTTCTTGTGCTCTCAACACTGATATCGAATTTCTGCGTCTTCGTTGACATGAGTTACTCTGACATTTGATTCTGAGGCTTGAGTAGGGATTTGATCTTGTTATACCATCTGTGCTGTCAGCTTTATCATCAAAGTGGCTCTACGTCCTCGTTTAGATTACATTATTTTTGTCAGGGTAATGTTAGAACAAAAGCACTGTACATACAGTGCGCACGTACATTTGTGGCTGAAAAAAACATTCAGCTGACTAGATACCATTCGAGATTGTTTTAAGACTGAACCGGAAGTCGGCCCAAGGTTACTTGTGCCACTTACACCTAAAATGTGCACTATTAGATTAATTACACATAATGTTAACAGAGATTTAAAAGAGTAACTGTTGAGTTGCGGGCGTTTCTCAACAGAAAACAACTTTTCGAACACTGCAGTAGATGTAAAAAAAAGACGGGTGTAAAAGTGCTTGTAAACAAGTCTATTTGAATAAAGGTTATTTGAATTTGAATTGCACTATTACTAATAGAAATATATGGATGGATGTATAGTTTGTTGATTAATAAATTTTATTTAAAACAAAACCAAAACTAGCTGACTTGATAGTCGGTTTTCTTTTCAAATCCTTAATTTTATTAATATTTTTACCGGATTTTTGTGATAGTATAGAGATATTACTCGTTGATATCACAAAAATATATTAAAAATACATTGGGCATAATCGTTCCTAAAATCTGGGGTGTTGTGCTCAGACCTAGAAATTTAATTGCCATGTTCTTTCTTTTTTTTTTAGAAATTTAATTGTCATGTTTTTTCTTTTGCCATTCTTCAAATCGTGTAACATCGAACTCAGGTACTTAGCGATATAAACGCGAATAAAACAAATGTATGCATATATAGAACTTGTTCCTTTTCCAATTTGTTAATTAATTAACTGTGTATGTGCAGGCTCCATCATGTTCCACGTGCGGCGGCGGCCGGCGGACGCGCAGCCGCGGCGGCGCAAGAAAAAAGCGGGCGGCTCCATAGGCAGCGGCGGGCGACCCGGCAACGAGCCCGTGCTGCTAGAGGTCGCCACCGACGGTACCGCCCTCGAGAACGGCCGCCGGATACGCATCACAGATGTCGTTGAGGTAATTATGTTTATTGTATGTATTCTATTTATTTGATCCAATTGATGTTTTGTACTAGCATAAGTGCTTTTCTGCGATAGACTTACAATATAATGATAAAAAAACCTATATGTTGTTTCGTCTTATAGTAATATCATAAATGTTATAAAACTGGGTTAATAGGGGAACTCCAGCATCACCAGAAAACTTGAAATGATATAAAGGAAGGTCGACGTGACTAATAAACTGATAAATAATTTTAATCACGCATACATTTAATTCTCTTTACAATTGGTGACCATGAATTTGTATTATTTAATCATTGCTGTCAATATCTGAACTTTAGCAACATGGATTTTAATTATTTTATATATCAATTAACTTAATTTTATGGACACTCACTATTATATATGGTTTCTTTCATACATGTGCTTATATTACTTGCATACACCTACTCTAACTTGCCTACTTCGCTTTGAAATCAAAATTTTTGTTTGTATAAATAAAATTCGTAATTGGCCGTATTCATAAGAGACTTAGCATGTAAGTTATTTTTTAAGAGCTGTGGATTTTTGTATAAAATAATATAAAAAAAAAAATTCAACTAACGAACAGTATACACTGCTAGATAGTTGTTTAGAATTTTTTATAGGGTATATTGTTTCCTTTTCCTCTCTATAGGCAATTAAAAATGTAAGTTAGTTATCTTTTCTACGCATTACTTTAGGTGGGATCTGGCAACGGAACAACACTTCAATTATACGGGCCGTCAATTCAGCCTCGGCACTGCGTGGTGACCACCGGGGAAGGTGGCGGCTACACTGTGACGCCACTTCATGCCGATGCACACGTGTACGTGAATGGACGGCGTATAATGCACACGCAGCGGTTGCAGGTTGGTTATCTATTTATTATGTTTTAATTAATGTAGATTCTGTTTTAATGTTTATTTTTTAATTAATATTTTTTTTTATTTAAATTGTCTAGGTCTCGATATAATCATTCTATACCGTCTTTCACTATTATGCGATCCATCCACCAACAGTTGTCTTTTTATCTAGCAGAGAGTGTCCACCGTTCTTTTCCCAACTATCTTTCTAAGACCTTTCACCTTCACTTGATATGACGACAATACTAATGTAATTAATTTTGTAAACGAGAATCTGCAAATCTTACTATTGTATATTTTTGTATTACGTCAATTCTTAGTGATAGATCTATTTTACATTTTCATATAAACATAATAGGTTACATATTTCCTTACTATATTTACGAGAAATCCCCTGGTTACTAGAATGTTGACTTTGCCACTCCTATGTTTTTTCATCATTTCTGATTTTATTTCAAAAGCTGTTAACGCATCAGATATCACGAACTATGGCCCTGTATAAAATAACAAGTGATTTTTGTAATGTCGAATAGTTTTAGATTTCTAGAAACTGAAAGATTTATCGATATAAGTGATAGAACATAGTGCAATAATTATTGTGTAGTAAATCTGCAAGTAGGTATATAAATAGAATCGCTGATTCATATAAATTTAATATCGGTATCCGGTCATAAAAAATATTTCTTATTCGCACACATAGGCATTACATATTATTAATGTTGTCATAAAAGTAAAAGTAAGTACGCGTGAGGTCTTACACATGAATATTAATGTTATGGGATTAAATGTTTATTTCAGTTTATATGTTACTTAATACTTGCATTTCACAAAAAAAAAAAAATTAAAAAAAATTTCAAAGTGATAATTTCCAATTCGTTTGTTTGTTTTTTGGTGTGTACCTCTAACCCATTATTTTTGTCAAATCTTAATTGATTATGATAATTTTTGATGCAATATGTTGGCTTTATCTCTGTGTGGTTATTTATTTGTATTTATTTACGAATCAAAGTCTTAAATATTCATTCTTAACCTCGTCCGTGTGTCCTGGATATATTGATTGACCGGGATAAATAGTATACTACATTCGTCCCTATCCCAAACGTTAATGCATACCTATTAAATTTTACGTCAACTAGTCTACTCATTGAAGCGCCATAAACAGAACAAACAAACTCACTATCACATTTGTAATTCTTACTAAGGATGCTTTTTATCATAAGAGGACATCACCCGTCTACATTACATTATTTATAATCTGATTTTCTATTGCACTAAATTTATTTATTTTTTTGCTTTAAAAATACAAATGATTTAGTATGAAATTCTAAAATAATGAATCTTATTACTATATAATATTAAATTCGCCTTTTGTACATTTTTTTTTTTAATATAGTCAATAAAGAATAAATAATCTTATCATACATAATGGAAATTTTTGTACGAAATTACCACTGTTAGAATGACAAGAAATTTGTAATATAATCGTATACTTAGAGAGGTAACAGAATAGACGTTTGATTGCCAGCCTTACATTCTAAGCTTTCACCCTCTTCCTCTTTTCTAAATAGGGAATGCAAAAGGAAGCTTCGAATTTATATATTTGAATGGATATTATGCCGCCCATTATAGCGTACGACAGCTGGCTCGGGAATAGCACGCACTCATATGTGTGGATTGGTTCCCAACAAAAAGATGTTCCAAAATTAAATACATTATTCATTAGGACACTCAAATTTTATAGTTAGTTAAATATCTGGATGTTGAAGTGCCCTTACAATCTTTTAAATATTTTTTTTCAAAGAATCACATATAATACAGTGATGAGTTAATAGTAATTAATATACGAGTTAATGTATTAAGAATGTAAATTAATATAGCAATACACATTTAAAAATTCTCTTTACAGTTTTATTTATTAAGGGTAGCTGTATCCCGCCGTTGTCGCCCGTGGTTGTATCGTGATGTTGTGCTGTGTGTGTATCTTATAACTTTTCTCAAAAAACAAGCAATTATTTAATTAGATAAAAAATTTCTAAAGCAAAAAAGAATTTTCAAATCTGATTGGTAATTCTAAAGATTATTGCGTTGAAGCAAATGCTTCTGCTTTATTATATTATCAATTACAATACAATAAATGGACTTCAATAATTTAATTAATTAATTTAATTACTGAAAGTAAATTTAATTGTGGGTTGGATATGATAATAAAGGGATGCACAAAATAAATATAAGAAACTAAATATTTAAAAACATATTAAGTGCGTAATTAAATAATTAATCAATGTAATTAAAATATTATTGTATTATTATATCAACCTTGTAACCTATTATCTCGCTACTCCGATCCCAAAGTAATAACAGCATTGTTGATGAGAACGCTAACTAACCGAAACGAGCGTAAATTAAGAATATTGGAAACTTTGTATCTACTTTACCTTGTTTCTATTCTAGAGCAGTAAAAAGCTTCTTGTTAAGTGTTGTACAGAAATGTTGGCCTAAATACCAGCTTACAAATGTATACTCTTGTACTCATGTAGGTAATTATAGACTTTCATCTTATTGGGAAATTTCATTAAAACATCGCTAGACATTTCGTATTTTGAATAGAAAGGAGATTTCTAGTTTATTTTGACTTATAATAGTAAATTTTATAAAATTCTTTCATAAAATCGTCAATAAACATATATTTTCCTAAGCAAATACAACACATTCTAGGTATAAAGGATATTTTTCAGAGTTTTGCGTTTCCATTGTAGTACGTTTATTTTGCTTTGATATATTCATGACACGTTTCAAACCTCTGATATTTACAAGGAGATTACGTATAACGTATATTTATTGTACTTCATTTATAACACTATATCTATACTTATATGCATTGCCAAGTGTTAAGATGCTGTTTGTATTATTTTCTTGACTTGTTTTGGTTTTGATAAAGTGACGTATTTTTTTCAGCACGGGTGCCTGTTAAAATTCGGACGCGTCTCAACTTTCCGATTCTTGGACCCGGCGCAAGAAAATTTCCTGAACAGAAATCTTTCACAATCACAGCACTTCGGTTCCGGCTCCATATACGATAGGTGAGGAAATTTCTTTATTCTCATTATGTTAAATGTTGTGTCCACGTAGTGTACCTTACAACCTGTTACTTTTACAACTAGTCGATCTAAATTAGAATCATTCATACACCAGCAACCTCTTTATATTTGTTGTTACTTTGTATTTTTATTTAACAGATATAACACTATCTGTGCCGCCGCTTCTCTAATCACTTGATTTATGTTGATTTTATGTTGGTTCTGTCATCATTGTTTTCTTTTGCATGTTTCTCTCACTGGCTCACGAACATCCGCTTGTGTATGTTATCCCCACGTTAGATCGCCGACGTCTCCGGAGAGCGGCGCGATGTCGCCCACGTCGATGACGTCACACCAGCCCGACCTGGTCGACTCGAACGCGAACACCACCGACAATGATTATCCGCGGACCATGAGCCCGGTCTCGCACGACACCTACTACCGGGAGGGGAACGAGCCCATGTCGCCATACAACAACAACACGCTGAAACTCGACAACGAGTCGCTCAGAATGTCGCAGCATCTGAACGAATCGAAAGACGATTACATAAGGGACGAACATACCGGCTCGGTGTACAACGATCCCGAGCAGAATCCGGCCAATCGCACAGCCAACTCTCAATACAAAGACAACTACGAGACCACTTTCGATTTGGACGGAAACGTTGAGACGAAAAGCATCTGCAGCGCCAAGAGTGGCGGCTCGGGACATGATAACAGGTATCGATCAAACTAGTTTCGAAAAGATCGTCTTAAGGCAACTGAATATAAATTATGTTAATACTGCCAACGCGTTACTCAGAAAAAAAGAGATCGCTGATAAATCAGCGTTGCGATAAATTACTTTCTAATAATAGAATTTCTTTTAACGGTCTTACATTTATATATTGAGCTGAACGAAAAAAGTGATTACGCTCATATTTTCAGTGCCTAAACATTGTTTTTTTTTTTTCTTTTGTCTGACTTGTATCGTTTTCAGTTCCTTATGCAAAAATTATTCTATTGTTTTAATGCAGATTTTATAGGTATGTTTAACTATAACCTTTTTTTATTTTATATTTATTATGTAGAAAAAATAAAGTAGAATTTGTGTAAGTTTAATATTTGTAATAAGAGAAATATAATTATACGCTTCCTAATTTTAACTATCTAATTAATACATCATAAAACTGTAAATGTGTCGTCATTGACAAAATAAATTAAAATTCAAAACATTAAAAATTTAAATAAAAAAAAATGGAAAATATATTTAAAACAAAAACGAATTATAAAATAATAAAAAAAAAACAGGCTCAGAAAGCAGAAAAATGGAACTTTAATTATATTCCGTTGTTACTTTCAAATCTTTTTACAATAATATTTTTTTGTTCGATTACCTAAAAGATAAACATTCGATTGTTAAATGTAAATTTACTTTGTATGGACTTTACATCAAGAGTTATGTTAGTTCAGTGACTTTCATAAGTAAGGGGATGGTTATTTGTGGAATGCAATTTATGCATATTTTTATATTCTGTGTTACTTCACAATTAGTAAACAGTTTTAACTCTTTTATCGAATTTAAAGATTTTAAAAATTATAAAAAAAAAAAACAGTAATAACATGCTGTATTATAGAAATCAAAATTATAAGCCTCCTTTCTAGGCGTAGAATCGAGTATAATTTTAATAAACAAAAACTATTTATTTTATTTTTCACTTCAATAAAAAAAATACCAAGATTGTTTACTAATCGGGCCAAATGTAGAAACACAGATTATGCAAGTTACCCAGTGCGTATGTTAATTATTAATGACATGGGTGCTTGTGCATACCAGGATGAGTGGCAGCGTGAGCAGCGCCGCGCGGCCCGGGCAGGAGGCGATCCTGCCGGCGGTGCTGGAGTTCCCCGAGGCGGGGCAGGCACAGTTCCTCGCCGCCGTCATCACGCGCCTTGACCCGCACGCGCCCGCCTTCAAGCTTGCGCCTGTCTACACGCTCTACCTCTGCGCTAGGTATGTACCTATACTCCTCGACTTGAGTTTATTCAGTATTAGGCCACAGTGATCGTTTACCATCCAATTGACTATATGCTTGATTGCCACATCTGTGGTAATAATAATATTATGTGAAACACAATTACACTAATCGCGTCTTGAAGCTAACTGCATCACAACACAAATATCCTATTTGTGTTGTGAGGAACCAGACCACGAATATCTGCTAATACAATCCAATACACTTAGTCCCAAACCAGTTCTGACCTAATGAGTTCATAAATGTATACAATGCAAAATGTCCACCACTACTCCAGGGAGGAAGGGGATTGTTAGTAATGGAATCATGGAACCATATTATTAGCAATATACTCCTCCTCCTGAAAACCATCATGGTTAATTTCAGGATAATTACAAGGGACTGACTGACTCATGACAATACTCCACGGAGATTGCTAAATAAAATAAGACACTTGAGTGATATAAAAAGAAGTCTCTTAATTCATCGGTTCGGAATTGGTGGCGTCGATTACGACACCAATTCATCGATTTTTATAATTCTCTGAAATCGATGCTGTTTACTCTCGTGTCAGTCTCATTTTAATTTTGTGATGCTTGTTTTCTTTGGGAGTAAACTGTTTATTGTGAACACAAACCTGTAAGTAATGTGTTTATCTATAGATTTAGGTTTCACGTTCTAAATTCAAATATTTACAATGTATTTTTACATTTATAATATTATTAGAGTTGAGGTCAAGTTGTACTAAATATTGACTAATCAACGTTTACTTACAAAAATCCTTATATTAAACAATAAATGTACTTAATTGAAAATATTTCGAAATGTAAATCCTAATAGTACTTAATAAATTTTTTGTCCAAAGTTTAAATTATTGAAAATACTTTCTTTATATATTAGTTTAAATGTACATTACAAATATTTGTGTGTGTATATTCAGATATCGTGCTTCAACGCACTACCGGCCTGAGCTGACGCCCACGGAGCGAGCCCATAAGCTAACTGCGTTCTTGCATCACGTCGCTATGCTTATTCACACTACAGTTCAGGTGATTATATATATGTTAATATGTTATTTGTTCTATTTTTTCCATATTTGTATATTCTATTGTAGATTATTTATATTATAGTACGAGATTTGGAATATCTTTTTGTCATTATTAGCTTCTAAAATCAACAGTATTCTTATAATTGTTATATTCGTATGCGTAGGAGCGATGTACCGACTCAGCTGCGCAAGCATTCTGGATGGCCAACGCCAGTGAACTGTTACATTTCTTGAAGTGTGATAGACATATATCTTCCTTCTCTACGCAAGCTCAAGAACTTTTACCTACAACTGTACAAAACGCTTTCAGGTATATATCTTTTGTTTTATAATATTTTGTTTATATTTATTGGACTTGGAAATAATAAATGAGTTGACGATCCACGGGATGAAGCGTTGTAACTGACGAGAAGAGACAAACATGATAGTCATATGTAATGCTTATGGTATACCTAATAATTTGCAATCATTCCTGTGGTCTAAAATTATGCCAAACTCATATATTTACTATCTTATCAGTCCATCTTTGCTGCTGATGTATTCAATTCTAAAGTCATCATCATTATTATAAACCATCCATCGTTCACTGTTGAACATAGATCTCTCTCATATTTCACCCACAAAATATCATCCTACGCCATTTGCATTCAGCGACTCTTACAACAATTTTGAGTTTGTAGCTCTATGTCGTGGGTGATCGCCTCATACTACGCTCACCAACACGGGGTTAATATTCATGTGGACGGCCTTCCTTTACTGTGCTTCTGTGGCAGTAAATTTAAATTACAATGTACGTGTATGTAAGTTAAAAGTATTGTTTATGTCAATGCCAGCAATCTAGTGACGTGCTTCCAAGAGGAACTGTCCCGCGCTCTGGCGACGCTGACGACGCTGCCGGCGGGCGGCGGCGCGGACGCGGCCGACGCCACCGAAGCCACGGCGCCCACGCTGCAGGCGCTCGCCACCGCCATGGTGCTGCTGCGCCGCTGCCGCGTCAACGCCGCCCTCACCATACAGCTCTTCTCGCATCTCTTCCATTACATCAACGCCGTTTGTTTCAACAAGGTACGTGCACATACTTCACTCGGGCTGAGGAGACGCCGAGCTTGTCGGTTATTTTTTTTATGATTCTTTAGACTTCCAAACTAGCTGGTTATTATTGTGTTCATACAACAATTAATATAATAAATTATTTATCATCGATTAAAGATGGTGTATTATACATTCACCAATCCGAAATACTCCATTTTTTTGTATAAAATCTAATGATTAATTTTGTAAGAGTAAACTGACTAAGAGTCTAGTGTTTTTCTTTTTCGTTACACTATTCGCATGCTTTGTGGAATCACTAAATAATGCTTCAAAGATAGTATGCATATACATAAATATTATATTAACCAGTGGCGGTATTTTCACACAAGTCGTGAACTTGGTTTTTTCTACTAAATACTTCATACCATTTCTCATTTATTCATTCTATTATTCAAATTACTAAAAATTTTGTGGTTTAATTTTAATATATAAAAATTAATTCTATGTCACGGTGTTTGTTCGTATACATAACAAAAATTGACGTGCTAGATGTTTTTGTGCGTTTAGTAGGTTAGTTGGTTTACTGATAAATTTTATTAACATCTTAGCCGAGTTTTTCGTATTGTATTAAGGTACCACTGACTGCCTCATACTATTGCGCATATGACATTTGCAGCTGGTGCGCGAGGCGGGCGGCGCTGGTGGTGCTGGTGGTGCTGGCGGTGCTGGCGGTGCTGGCGGCGCTCGGTGGGGCGCGGCTCTGGCGGCGCGGCTGGCGCTGCTGGCCGCCTGGGCCGAGCGCCAGGGGCTCGAGCTCGCCGCCGACTGCCATCTCGCGCGCACGCACCAGGCCGGTCAGTCTCTTTGCTTTCTCCTACCCTTATATAAGTACTGCGACGCCGTTCACCCGGCGTGGCGGTAAACTAAGGCGGTCACTAAAGTGGTACAAACTGCGTCCGCTTTTTATAATAGTGCTATTATTGTACACCTCTTATGTGTGTAGGTCTTTACTATATCTTTGCACTACCTCGTAGAGATATTTTGCTTTTAAATTTTTGACATTGTTGATCAAAATTGTCACAGGTTAATTTGTGTTTTCTAATTATATGGGCTAATTGTATTTATATGTTTCGGATTGTATGTAAATTTATAACATTTTCAGTATAATGCGGAATGCAACGACGCTTATTATATTAAAATCCATTAAGTCAAATAACATATATACAGATTTCTTCTATATTCGAATATATTAATATTGTGTTCCATAAAAAGCTAACCTAATTTTTGTTCACAACAGAATGAATAATTGATTTTAAGATATACTTCTAACTTCAGAACTGTTCGGTGATTCATTTTACTTATGGTGTATTAACTACAAAAATAATTATCAGAATCGATCCAAAAATTATGACATAGTTAAGTAATATGGTGGTAGCAAAGAAATAAATCAAATTGAGGACCTTCTTTTTAAAATATGTTCGAAATTATACGGTATCGACAATAACTGTCCGTGCCTGTGCGTAAAGCGGTGCTGACTAGCGAAGTAGCGGAGTAGCGTAGTGACGGGCAAGTTTTCCCCCGCAGCGCGGCTGATCCAGGGCACGTACCGCACGGCGGAGGAGGTGCGCGCGGCGCTGGCGGCGTGCTGCAAGCTGAACTCGGCGCAGGTGCGCGCGCTGCTGGCGCCGCTCGTGGCCGCCGACGTGCTGCACGCCGCCGTCGACCACGCGCGCGCGCTCGCCGACGAGCTCGCGCGCGCCGACGGCCGCGAGGTACGTCTTACTCTGGTTAACATCCATATTACTTTGGGAAAACAATATTCGATTCCTCGTGTAGATATATTCCTTCAAAAATTGTGTTAATAATTTAGATTTTCCCTTATACTATAAAATGAGAATAAATGGATATTATTCAAACTGTAATGTAAGTTTTTATAATTATATCGTAGCAAAGTGTGATTATTGTTTGTTTGAACATATACTGGTGTTCACGTCTATAGGCAAAGTTTACCAGAGTACAGGTAGGTTCGTTTGTTATTTTTAGGTTAGCAACACATTTAACGTATTTTCTGTTGTCAATATTCGGTATCCTTACTAATATTGTAAATGTAAAAGTGAGTTTATTTTTTTTGTTACGACATAGCTGGTTAACGACTTAACCGAGCAACCTGAAATTTAGTACACACATACTATATGAGATGGAGAAAGATATATATTACTTTCTATTCTGGTCAGTAAACATATCCTGGTTACGTGGACGAAGTTACAGTTAAGAACTAGTAAATACCTAAAGCATGCAGTTAATTTGGATACCCTACCAAATGTTATGCTTTATATAAAAAAAGCATGAAATAGAATGATATCAGTATTTCACCGACTGAAAATTGGTGCACGTTTGACCGAAAAGATACCGGATGCAAGCGTTCCGCGTCGTAAGTTTGGCGTAAGTTATATAAAAAAAGACGCGTTTAATTATCCGCGATAACATCGTACGACAGATCGAGCTGGAGGAGAGCGCGTGGCTGGGCGCGGCGCTGCTGATCCCGGGCGACGGGTTCAGCGCGGAGGTGGTGCGCGGCGTGCCGCCCGGGCTGTCGGAGTTCGTGGCGCCGCTGCAGCGCGGCGGGCTGTGCCGCCTGGCGCTGCAGCCGCACGCGCTCGGCGTGTGGACCGTGTACATGCACGGCTACGGCGCCGCGCCGCGCCGCCCGCCCGACCCGCGCCTGCACATCATACAGCTGCACAAGAACGCCAACGGCATGGGGCTCAGCATCGTCGCCGCCAAGGTGAGCCGCACCTGCGCACCTCTCTCATATTATATATACTTACTATAACTGACTGACGTCTGAACTATCTACTCACGGTCACGATGTTTAGCTTATATCTTTTAATTTCTATAAAGAACATCAATGAAGAAGGGCTGAAAATCATATTCGCCAAGATCGATTTTCCTTTTAATTCCTGTCCGTTTCTCTCTCTCCCTCCCCCATCTTCCTTCCTCCCTCTCGCCTTTTTGTCTCTCTCTTTCTCTTTCTCCCGCACATACACATATTGACGTCATCAAATGTAGAAATAACTTTAAACCCTTGGCTACATACAAGTGCTCCATTATAGGCACACTAACAACGATCCCCTTACATGTGATCACATGCCTTCACATTTGTCCTGAATTATTGGAGTTTGTAATATAGATCTCGTGTTGATCTGTGTTAAATACAAATTTAGTGAAATGTAAAATAGTATTATAATGAAGCTATGACAGTCTGTATGATATATAAAACGTACGTGGCTGCAGGGCGCTGGGCAGAGTAAGCTGGGCATCTACATAAAGTCGGTGGTGCCGGGTGGCGCAGCCGCCGCCGACGGTCGCCTCGCCGCCGGCGACCAGCTTCTCTCCGTCGACGGACAGTCGCTCGTCGGTATCACGCAAGAGAAGGTATGTTCTCATTCACATCTATCATCCTGATAGTCTACCTCCTTAGATCAAAAACTCTATCTAGATAGGGATTCTCTCTACAAATGCTTTGATGAGACATAACCCAAGTTTTTTTAAAATGGCGCGCTTTTACAATATTGTAATGAGATAATTTATTTGCATTACTTATAGCACACAAACAGCGACAGACATAGATGCACAGGGAAAAAAGATAATACATATACAAAAAATAAAATAAAATGCATAAAATAAGTAACAATTTTTTCTTTCATGCGTGTGCCACAGTAACACAAAATGGTCATTGGGTTATATGAGATTGAATATTAAATTGCAAAAAAGCAATACATCAAAATTTCGCTGCTGTAACATAAATAAAACTATTTTTTAGATATATTTTTAAACAAAATTCAAATAAATTGTATGGTGCGCAGGCAGCTGAATACTTAGTGCGGACTGGTCCGACCGTGACGCTCGAAATCGCGAAACAAGGCGCCGTACTCCACGGTCTAGCTACACTTCTACACCAACCTGCTTATAACCAGAAACAAGGTATGTGCCATGACTATAATATTTTTAGTGATAGATTGATACATGTGTGTAGATTGATACATATAATAGCATATAGGAACAAATAAAAGGAAAAAAATAGCTATTGATAAAACATTGTATTATAACATACTAATGTTTACTAAAACACTATTTTTTTAATGAATGATCACTAGTAACCAGCCAGTGTATAAACTAATAGGATTTATACTTTTGTTTGTTATTAATGAGGGATGAAACATGAAGACAAAATAAAACCAGTTAGCTCATCGTGACGCATTTATAAGGAATTAACCACGCACCAACCATATACCATTATTGCTAGTGATTAGACCGACTAGTAATCCTCTCTCTTAACCTAAACCGTTTGTGTAACACGTTCACGCCGGGGCCGACTTTAATGTTTTTCGCTGCGAGAGCGAGGCGGCGCTCTAATTGATGCTAATATCACAATCGAATACGTACTACCGGTGGTACGTGCCGCCAGAAAAGACAGTCTAGTGCGTACCGCCGGTTGTATGCGCCGTCCAATGAGACAGTCTAGCGGGGGTCCCCGGTGGCCCGCGCCGGCGTGAACGTGTTAAACACTAGTTGATGGATGAACTGACAAAGGTTCCATTCCGGACGCAGACGAGGAGGTTCCGTACGAGGACCGCGTGCGCCGCAACTCGGGAACATTCATCAATCCGCACCCGGCACTACTCAAGCCCGCCTCCCCGCTCACTGAGCTCGCGACTGCAGGCAATTATTGTCTTTCTGTTGTCTAGAAACCTCTCTTTTGTTATTACTTTTGGTTTCTTTTCCAATTAATGTTTTTTGATAGTCGGTTTTTTAATGCTTTTGATGTTTTTTTTTTTGGGTTTCGATAAGTCGAATCGAATGATTAATTTCTTGGCCGGACTATTTGGACTGGCTGATCGCCTTTAGTTGATTTGGTTTTGTTGATTGCACATTTTTTATATCTTAATATGATATTGTATTCATAAATGAAAAATATTTTATCTGTTTGTCTTGCTTTCTTTTTGTTAAACTTTTTTTTTCTTTCTCACTGTTTCTTTTTTCATCCTTTTTGTTTCAGGATATCATCCCGTATTATTCGTTTTTTCGTTACGTATTTTTTTTTCAGATTGTATTTCTGTGTTTTATTTATTTTGAAAATAACTGCAAAGAAAAATGTTAACAGATTTCCCGTTGCAGGCTATCGACGGCCGTGTCACAATCGATGTCATATCCTCAGAGACGAGTCTACCGAATCTAGCACAGATGATAGCGAAGACTTCCACCCGCACTACCACGGGTCTATCCCTAGACTAATAATAACGCTAGATCAAGAAAATAACCAGTTGCAAGAAGACTTGACCCCCGATACCCCGGGATGTCCGTTAGAACTAAAAACGGACGCAGCACCGCCGCGACCGATTCCCATATTTACATTCACCTGTGAGGATTTCGATGAACAGCACCCAAGCAGCGACACCACCACGTACGATAGCCACGTGCCAGACGAACCGCCCCAAGTGCCGGAGCCTCCCGCCAACTACGACCAATCGAGCGAGAGCGGCGACGCTATCTGTTTACCACCAGAAATGCGGCCAATAGACACTAAACTTACTTTGGACTTGTTTAATGCTCGACCACAAGTGAAGGAAATGTACAGGCCGAAAGAAAACGAATATTACCGACGGCGTTGTACCGGTGTAGACGAATGCGTGAGTGCGTGCGAGTGCTGTCGCACCCCGCAGCCGGAAACGCAACCAATACCGTTCATAGACGAGCCTAATTGTGAACCCGTTATATTCGAAAATGACTCCACTTGTGATAAAGTAGCCACGCCAAAAATACGCAGAATCCTACCCTCGCTCTCACTTGACAATCCAGATGAAAGCAAGAAGGAAACAGTGGACGCGGTCTGTCAAACATCTTCGCCTCCGATTGATGATGAGCCAAAAGTGAAGCCTATACCAGCACCAAGGAAGTTCGAGTTGAACCTCGATGTTAAGAAACATTCTAGAAAACTCGATAACGTGCATTGTAGACTGAGAAGAACATTGTTACATATGTCTAAGTCGATTTCGAGCACAGAAGAAACAGAACCACCATCCACTTATTCTACATCTGAATCTTACGAAAATATGGCTAAAGAAAGACACGTCTTCTTACCCAAGGCAAATGCTCACACTCCTTCAGAAATGGGTGCCAAACAAATTCTCGATAGCGTTGATAGGAAATCTTGGAAATCCCCTGATGAATTCAGGCCGTCCTTTGGCAAAGTTAAAGCTCTAACCAAACACTTCAATGATATTAACCTCTCCTATTGTGTACGTAATTATAAGAGAAACTGCCAATCTAGTCCTAACCTCAGCGATCGCAACGAAAAATCTTTTAAAATTTTTCATAATAACATACAAAGTAGTGTTAGTTTAGCGGATATACAGTACGAAAGTAGTAAAACAGAGACGAGCGAAAGTAAAGGGGACAAATTGACCGACGAAGAAGTCAAAAGCATACTGATACAGCTGGAAGACTGGTCCAGGTACGGATCGAGGGGTAGCGAGGACACGCTGGCTCAGGGCAATGAGTTCGAGGTGCCGAATTTACCATCTGAGGAGCACACGGACGGATATGTCGTCGATGGCGGGGTCGTATTCAACGAAATCGTCGAAACAAAGCCTAGAAAAATAACATTAGATAACATTAAACTGAAGTCGAATCAGTCGAGTTTCAATTCAGAGACAAAATCTAGTAGAGAATCACTGCTCAGAAGCGGAAGTCCGGAGAGAGCGACCAACTTGTGCATTCCGCGAAAGGTAGCTGGTTCCCCCATACGGGCGTCGCCGCAGGGCCGGCGCCAGGTCCTGGCGCCCAGCGGCCTGCGCGGCAGCTGCCCGGCCCTGCCCGCCCTGAGTCCGTGTAAGCCCCCCCTGCACCGCGCATGATATAGGTGTGTTCTAGTTCTCAGCACGGGTGCCTACCCGATCCTTCAACGTTCACGTCTTAGTTTGCATTTTTTGTTTAGTTGCTACAACGATATTATTTCAGACATTCAAAATTATTATTTGTCAGTATTTTCATTTGCATGGAACATGAAATTGCCTTATACATCTGTATTTTTTTTTGTCATTTTATTTCAGCATTTTATATCACTGGCAAATTATTATAGAAGCAATGTAATAGTTAAAGCACCACTGCACAATCAGCGTGTACCTTACTCCGTGTAGTTCGTAAATCCGAAATATATTTTGAAACCGCTGTCGATAATTTTTGTTGTTGTAAATGTGAGTAGACCGAATACTGGATGTGTAAGATACTCACGTAATCTTGCCACATTATGTTTATTTTTACATAACAATTTTTTTGCGTTAGAATATAGTTAGAATAAAATTTTGTATATAAAATTATTTATATAGTTATTGTTTATATAATAAGTTTGAGGGACTAAATATCTCCCGTTTTATTTTTTTCATTTGTATAAATTTTTATTTTAAATAAGTCACAATACTATTTTTATTTCGCTACCGCCTGATTAGAAGGTGAAAATTTGTGTCGTGTTAGGTGAAGTTTACGATCATATTCAAATAATTATTTTAAATTTTCTCTTAATAATTTAGGTGAAATCGTGTAACAAAGTACGACATATTAATGTGCATGTTAATTAACTTACTGCATCCTGGCACAAGACTATTGTTATAGTTGTATTTATATTTTTATTTATAATATTATAATATATCAAGAATCAAAATGTATTTAATGTATGTAAAAGCCCTTCATTTTCTATTGTTAACATCATATTATGCACATTTACGATATAGAAAAATTAAGAAGTTGCATATAATTATATGCGGCTACTTAATTTTACATTTGATTTAAGTATACATTTTGCTTTCCTATTGTATTGTGACCATAAACTTATACTGTGCCGTTCTACGATGCGTTGTAAAAGTGCCTAATAAAAATAATAGATCTAACGTGTATGTATTAACGTGTGTGAGCAGGCGCAGGCGCCGGAGGCAGTGTAGGCGGCGTGGGCGGCGTGGGCGGCGTGGGCGGCGCGGTGCGGCGGGCGTCGGAGCGCGACCTGCCGGCGCGGCTGGCGGCCGAGCCCGTGAAGCCCAGCAAGAGCACGCCCGCGCTGCACCACGTGGCCTCGCCGCCGCCACCGCACCCGCACACGCACCCGCACCCGCACCCGCACCCGCACCACGCCTCCAGGTCTCTATTGCAAAACAAAAAGCAAACGAGAAAAGTACAAAAGTCGATTGCTTGAGCACCTCTGTCCTATTCGTGTTTTAACCGTGAAGCAGCTGTGTTTGCATGGCTGTGTTTCGGTTTGAAGGGTGGGTGGGTGAATTTACTGGGTACAGAGGAATAACACCTGAGTCCTCAGGAATGGCAACGCATGGAGGGGTATCATGGGCGAAACAGTATACTCTGTTATGGCCATGGTACTGCTCATGTCTATAGGCGACGGTTACCACTCCATCTGGTTCCATCAAGTGGGCCGTCAGCTTGTTTGCCATTCTAAGTTGTATAAAAGAAAAGAGTTGACGGTACTCCTCATAGAAACTGAAAACGGTTACCTATAAACATGGACAGCACCGTCCCAAATTATTTTGTACTAAATATTTATATGTACTGTATGCGATCGTTTTGAACAGCTTTCAATAATAACTTTGTAATCGGTAGCGTTTACTCCTGTATTTGTCCTTTAATAATATTATTCTGATTTTTAAAGACAGAAAGGGGTAAAGAGGTTTCTTCAGGATCGGCAACGCACGCGTAATATCTCCGGTATTGGAGGTGTTCATATGCTACGGTAACCATTTATCATCAGGTGGACCGTATGCTTGTTTGCCACCTCAGTGGTATATAAAAAAAAAACAACGACTACAATTAAAAGTTTTTAATTATCAAAAGCTACATGTATTGTCGTTATTTTATATTTTAATACTGATTTGGGAATTCTGTTTTTAATCAATATAGGAATAAATTTTCAGTTTTACTTTGTAGAACACCTTGTAGAATGAATTTAGATATCACCCTGTATATGTACAACTACCTCGTGCAGCGCAACAATGAGCCCCGTGCCGTCGGTGAGCTCGGCGAGCGCGGCGGGCGCGGGCGGGCCCGGTAGCGCGGGCGGCGCGTGGTCGAGCAAGTCTCGCAGCAGCCACAACCTGTCGGCGCCGCAGCACGACACCTTCTACCAGAACCTGTCCGCCGTGCAGGCGCACCACCACCCCTACCACGTGCACCCGCCCTCGCTGCAGGACAGGTCAGTGTGCGCACACTAATGTACGATCACGGATACTCGAGTTTCACTTCTGCTCGATTTATTTATTCTTATAGATATAATCACTAGTTTAAAGATGAAAGTTATTAATTTTCATCTATTTTTTTTTACCTTCTTCATTACTAAATCTATTTTAATATATATATATATATATATATATATATATATATATATATATATATATATATATATTTTTTAGGTTTTATAATTTTTGCATCTTTTTAATGCGTGTGTGTGTGTAAGTATATAGAACACTGATAAAAAAGAGTTAGTTAGTTTGACTATAAGCTGACAAAGAATTGACCCGTTTTTGAGATTCAATGCTCTATCTATATAATCTAAAATTTTACCTTATACTTGTATTTACACTTGAGTTATATATAATCTTGTAGCTAATATGTATATCCATGTGTTTATATCCAAATTGATCTATCTTAAACCTTTATAACAGCACTATAGTTTAATCTAAAATGCAAAACATACTCCAATGTATGGGCGCGATTGACCCTCATAAAATTGAATATCTTATGAAAGGTGGTCATCACTGCGCAGTTCGACAGGCAGCAATCGGCCGCAGTCCGCGCACTACTCGGCCGCATCCGACCATCCTCCTGACTCGCCAATACATCAGGTAATATTCTAAGTACTGAATTACATAAACCGTATACCAAACCGTAATACACTTGATGAAAATTTATTAATTTGTTCTGTTTTTATTTTTTATAACTGCTTATTCTTATTTTGTTCTGTCCTATGTTTTGTATAATATTACAAATATAATATATTTAAATATTGTATTATAGAACAACCAAGCGATGACTGCACGTTCCGCGAAACTTGCCGAAATGTCAGAGGAGGTCACAAGACGGCAACAGCAGCAACAACAGTTACAACAGCAGCAGCTACAACATCAACAGTTACAACAACAGCAGCAGCTACAGCAACATCAACAATTACAGCAACAACAGCAGCTACAACAACAAGAACAATTGCACCAACAACAGCAGCTACAACAACAACAACAACAACTGCACCAACAACAGCAGCTACAACAACAACAGCAGCTACAACAACAACAGCAGCTTCAACAACAACAGCAGCTTCAACAACAACAACAAACGCAGCTACAACAACAACTGCAGTATTCGACTATGCCACAAAAACCACCGCCTAACATGTCTCACCAGCATCCGAATCTTCATAATCATCAGCAGGTAAATATAATATTGAAAAAAACATTTTTTATTGTAGTATTATAAAATAAAAAACCTGACAGTATTTAATACCAAGGAATAAGTACAGCACGATCTATAGCAATCTTTATGTGTATAAGAGTAGCAAAATTAAGGTCTCTTGGGATTTGAATCCTAAATAGTTAGTAATAGAAATTGTTTTTTTTTTTAAAGGAACAACTAACTTCTATTCAATGTGATAAATAGTACCATCAATGGAATTGACAGTATTAAATTTATGCATTTAAATAAATTTTGTAAATAAGTACAAGGTCAAAAGGCAGATAATCTTCTTCATAGATCTATGCTTATATATAGTAAAATTATCAATGAAATTTAAACATTTTTTCCAAAGAAACATGAATAAAAAAAAAGACAAAACCTTACTAATAAAATAAAATTATAACTAGACGATGCCCATACATGGCAGATATTTAAAAAAAAATAAAAGGTGTCTCAATAAAACTAAAACCTTATAATCTTATGTTTTGGTTTTGAATATTATTTCATAATAATTATTTTTAGAAATTACGTTTCTCTGTATGTTTGTTCCGTCTTCACCCAAAGACTACTGCATCAACTAATGAATGCGGTTTTCATAGCTGTACATCTGAAGGTCTAACTTGCACTGGAGCACATTTTTTTAACATATAGAAGTGATCTAATTCGTTAGTTTCCCTTCTTCTGAAATCCACGCGTAGGAAGAAACGGTCAAAAGACTTCTCTGTAATATCATCATCATCATCGTCATCATATCAGCCACCTATTTTCCAATGCTGAACATAGGCCTCTCCCTTGGGGTGTTATGCCAGTAGTTGCCATATTTGGCAGGTGGGTAGGCAGCCGCAGTTAGGTTTTGAGTGAAGTTTTAAAAGAGACTATTGTTCATCCCTCCACTATTAAATTCCCTTAATTGCCTCCTACGATACATACGGGAAAGGAAGGGGTGGCCTATTCTATGTCGGTCTGTAATATAATCTTCATATAATTGTTACAGATGTCTAATCAAATTCCAATGCATGTACACACATCACAGCAGATCCACCACGCGGGACAACCGTCCCCACAGCAGACGTATCACAATCAGCACGGCCCTGCGCAAAGGTCAGAATTAATTAATAAATATACTTGTATGTTTAAAAAAAAAATAACAATTATGTGTATAGGTTTGTATATATTAGTTTATATATAATAGTGTACCACCTACCCTTTGTCTTTATTCTTTTCTCAATATCCTTTACCCAAAGGTTGTTTGGAAGAGATTGCTTAGCGATAAGACCGTCTTTTGTATCATTTTTCATTCAAATTAACTGTATTTACTATTTTATAAATAGTGCAATATAGTGTAAAATAAATAAATAAATAAATACTCACATTGTAGCCTTATAAGGAAAATGATATAACAGGCGCTTAACTGTTCATATTTCTGTAAATTATTAGTGTAAAGTAAATAAAACAATTTGTATGCAAGAGTGATCAGGGTACATAGAATTTGGGTAAAACTTTTTGTCAGAAACTTAATCTACAAGGGTAATCTCACTAGTTAGCCCATCATGATGAATACACTTAAAATTCAGCACGATGGTTTCCGGGGGGAACCACTTGGAGGTCAACCTGACAGGGTATATTGCTATCAAAGGGACTGATAGTCCGCATTACTAACACGAAGCAAAGAGCTAGATTACGTCGCACTCCTAATACATTTAGTGCTACAATCATATAATATGATACATTGTTATGCGCCTCAGATATGAATGGCATCCTCCTGGACCACCGTCGCCACAGAGGTCTCAGCCGCCTGTTGCTCCGAAACCACAGGTCAGTATTATTTATATAATGCGTCGATATGATTGCGATTGTGACACTTAAATGGATGTAATCTGATCAATTAACAAGAATTCATACACTGGTACCAATATGTAATTAGGTATCTATTTGAGTCAGAAGAAGAATGAAGTTGTATAGTGAATTTGAGAGAATTTACGAAATATAATTGTACTTTTAAATTGTGTAAACCAATTTAAAATATTAATAATAATTATAAGTCGATTGCACACCAATTTTCTTAAAGATAAAGCTGAGTTTACGCTAAGATCTTTAAATTGTTCTTAATTGATGCATGTATAATATCAGGGTATAAGACGAGACACGGAGATGGAAGAACAGCATCTGCAGAATATGCAGTCGCCACAGGCAAACACAACAGTACAGCCTGATGATGGTTAGTAGTCGAATATATTTATTTATATAAAAACGTTTTATCAGTATATATGATAATGTAAAATTTCTTGTTCTGTGTGGTGATGGAGTTAGAATCTCTTTTGTCTCTAGGATATCGTGTAGGTTTGTGTAGATACGAACAAAGCGTTCTTAAACTATGTAAATATTATAAGATGCAGTTTTAAGAATAAAATCATCAAACTAATATATATAAATACAGCAAGCCTTCGATTTTTTGTCTGTAATGGTTAAATAAAAAAAAAAAATAACCAACTTTACAAATTGCTTCACCTATAGAATGCTACGTTATCAGCGCGTAATATAAATTGTATTTCATAAAAAAACATGCGAGTTTGCGGCGGGTCGGTGGTATATATATGTGCACGGTACGTTGCAGAGCGGTACGTGGCGAGCGCGTTGGAGCCGCCAGCAGTGTCGGTGTACCCGGCGACCGGCGCGGCCGGCGTGGTCGGCGCGAGTGGCGGCGGCGCACGCTCGCCGGCCGCGCACAACCCCTGGCAGCGCGAGGAGCGCGAGCGGCAGGCGGCCGCACGCCGCGCCGCCAACAGGGCGCGCAGGTCACCAGCTATATCAAACTAGCACAGGGCCTACCATGAAATGTTCTCTCAAATTTGGACACCGAACGAAACATAAATTTGATTTTAATACATAATACGCACTACTTGAATTGTTAAAATATTGTTCCTTTGGACTTTCATGGTAGGATTTATGACGAACAAAATGTTAATATTCATTTACTAGGCCGATTTTGGTATAAACAAAAATACGAAATTGAGCCTGAATGTGCAGATTATTATTTCATGGTAGACCTCCTGAAAGCTTTTATTATCGACCACCTCTGCACTTGGATTTGGATAGAGGATTATTATTAAATAGATTCTAGTAACTGTATTCTAGCAATATACTACCAGAACATATATAATATACTCAATTATATTAAGTCATGTTCATATCTATAGGCGTCGGTTACCACTTTTTATTAGATAGGCCATTAGCTTGTGTGTTAAGTTGCATAAAAATATATATATAGTATAGCCTGCGCTATCAGTTAAATGCTGGCGGAGTACTAGTAGGGGATGATAGGTGAGGGTAAAGTCAGATGAATTAATTCATCGTGAAGAATTAAATACGAGGAATTAACTATGATGGATTTTAAGATCAACAGCATGAACATTGACTTGAAAGTAAGTGTAATGAACGATAATGAAATGTTAACCCCACACATGCTGTCGGTATACGCCTGCGAGATAATGAGAGCTGGATAGGTGACAATGAAATCGGATCTAACTCGAATTAACTACCTACTATGTACGCTGCAAGGTATTCTTTTTAACAAGTTTGTTCGCGGTGCGTGCAGGGATGCGACGATCATGTCGCTGCTGTCGCTGGGCGCGGCGCGGTCGCCGGTGCAGAACCAGCAGCTGCGCGCGCTGCAGCTCGAGCGGGACTTCGAGCGCCGCGCCACCATGCACCAGCAGGTACTGCGCCTCACGCGCACACACGCACACACGCTCACACGCTCACACGCACACTTGTCTATTATATAATAAAAAGCAAAACCTATGTTATACAGTGGCCTCTACATTTCAAATTTCACAATGATTCTTTTTATTATGTTAATTCGATACTGTAAATTGATGGAAATATAATTTTATAAATACTGTATAATATTTATTATACTATTTTATTTATATACAAATTAATGCACATATAATTTGTATGAACATTTAAATTCATCATATCTTTTATGAATTCCTTAGATTAATTTTTAACTTTCTATGTGATGTTTTTAAGTGTCGCGAAAATTAGTAAATAGTATTAATATATTTTACAAATGTTAAAATGAGAATGCATATAAAATAATATGCAACACTGCATTGTATATTTATGTTGATACATAAACCTTACCCGTGACTTTGAACCGAAACCTCCATCACATATAGTACGTGTATACCAAATTTCATGGTGATTGGTTAAATCATTAAGACGCTATAAAGTAACAAAATTACTTTCACATTTATAAAATGAGCAAAGATTGTAGATTATTAATTTTATTTTTAGATAATGAAAAAGACATGTTAAAATTGTTTGCTCAAAATGTAAAAAAGAAACTTAACGAATGTAATAATACAATATAACCGATAATTTGGTAACTAGGAGGAGGGTGGCAACACAGAGGGCGCCCTCGAGGACGAGTCCCGCGATTCGTCCGAGGAGGAGGCGCCGCCCCCCGCCGCCGACTACGAGCCGCGCCCGCCGCCGCCCAAGTCCATACTCAAGACCAACCCGAGGCCAGAAATTTCGAACGGATATGCACATGAAATGGTACCGTGTAATGTTGTTGCCTTTAGACCTAAATAATATTGCACTTTTACTGTATAGAAACGTTTTTTTAGTCACAATTCGAAACTGAAAGGCTGAGGATATTGGGGAAGGTTTAGGATTATAGATAGATAGATAGATACTCTTTATTGTTTCCTCCAAAAGATTACAATAGTAAACTTATTATAGATAGAAACAATTACAAGAAATAATCACAGTGAGAAAACAATGGGCGACTTTATCGCTAAGAGCAGATAGTAGACATTGATATGGGGAAGGAATCGGAACTGCAATGTTTTCATGAAACGAGTTATAAAAATGAGTAAATCACGAGAAGTGCACAAATATGAGTACAACCATTTGCTACTCAGTTTTTTAATTATGGCGTAAGAGACGCATAACAACAATATCAAACTGTTGCTAAAGAGACCGCCGTGTCAATGTTGAACGGTACGAGGCAACTTAATTATAGTAGTAGCTTTATATACCACTCCTAGTAGTATCATCATTATCATTTCAGTCATTATCCATACACTGCTGAACATAAGCCTCCCCCATAGACTGCCATAAAGAACGGTCCTGAGCCACCTGCATCCATTGACTCCCGGTAATGCATTACAGGTCGTCACTCCATCTAATGGGGGAGTCGTACACTGCGTTTATTCGTCGCCACTCAAGAACCTTTCTTCCTCATCGGTTATCGGTTCTTCGAGCTATGTGACCAGTCCATTGCCCCTTTCTAGTAGTATACAAATTCTTATTTTGAAAGTGGAATAATATTGAAAATATATCTGTGTATCTGTGCAGACGAGCGCCGAGGAGAGAGTGTCGGAGGTGGCGGGCGGCGTGTCGGCGCTGTCGGTGTCGGCGCCGGTGCCGCCCGCGCCGCCGTCGCGCGGCTCCTCGTTCGCGGTGATGGCGGGCCGCGCCAGGCACCTCGACGCACCAGCCGACACCACCCATGCCGCACACGCCGCACACGCCGCACACGCCGCACACGCGCCGCAACCGCCGCCGGCGCAACATCCACCGCCGCAGTCAGTGCTCCCATTTTGTTATTTAATTAATATTATCTCTTGATGTGACGGCAATGTTTAAAGTATACACACGCAAACTCAGATAATGCTTATTCACTCTAGCTTTAAATGACCCCATATTATATTCGTAATAGTAGGTGAACATCTGAAAGTTGGGACGTGAGAGGGTCTTTTGTTGAAAGTGAACCCAGGTAACGTGATCTAGTTGGTTATTACTGCTCTTTTTGGTTCGATCTGTCATGTGGATGGCCGCACGTTTTTATTCATGTAGTAATAGAAAAGTTTATACTTAAATTTTCATTGTTCTTTTTTTTTACAATACATTTCACTAAAGATCTATGCTGATCTATTTTTTTCCGCTCTCGTCGCTACTTCGCTCGATAACGTGACAAACAGGAATATCGATTTTTGACATGTATCTTTTTGTAATGATTAATGTAACTAAGATGGGTGAAAATGGTATGGTAACTGAATCGCTGGTGGAGCACCAGTGAAGGGTGATAGATGAGAATGAAAACAGGCGATTTATGACATGTAAGGGAGAACCGCGAGGAGGTCGACCTGGTTGGGTATATTGCTAGCAATGGGATTCTCAGTCTCCATTACTAACAATCCCTTTCCCCCCATGTACAATATTATACTAATCTATAAACACACATCGGAAGTAGTAAATATTTAATCTTACTTATAAATGGATTTCTAGAGATTGGCCTATTTTAACTTTACTATGTCTATTTACTTTTTACTCTCATTTATTGTAACTCGAATTACAAAACTGACCGTGTAGTTACACTACGTAGACCATGAAGAAAAAACGGAAAATAGTATTCAGTTTTGTTTTCCATATATGTAATCGTATATTTTTTTTTAAATATACAACTAAGAATGGCAAACAAGCTGACGACCCACCTGATGGAAAGTGGTAGCCGTCGCCTATAAACATGAGCTGTACCATGGACATAACAGAGTATACCGTTTCGCCCATGATACCCCCATGCGTTATTCCTCTGTACCCTGTAAACTCACTGCCATATCCCACCCTTCAAACCGAAACACAGCCATGCAAACACAACTGCTTCACGGTTGAAACATGAATGGGACAGAGGTACGCAAGCAATCGACTTTTGTACAAAGTCTCCCCGTGGTGAGGATGTATGTATATGAAAATGTTGTGTAACAGATCGCCCGGGTCGCAGCGGGACAAGCGCGTGTCGTTCCACGAGCGGGCGGCGTCGTCCCCGGCGGCGAGCCCCGCGCCCGCGCCGCCCGCGCCGCCCGCCAGCTCGCCGCCGCCGCTGCACGACGCGCCGCACAGGGAAGATCCCGACGTACGATCTTACTGTCATCTTTAATGTCTATCAAAAAGAAATCTAGTTGTGTTGTAACTTCTTGATGCAATTTTGTTACACTATATGTCTATATAAATAATAATATATATTTAAAATAATTTTTAAAAAGAAAATTTTATAATAAAATTTAATCTTGTGACTAGCATCATTTATAATAATGGCATTTACTTTATCGTTTCTTACTCTTCAAATTTTTTCATTTGATATTTATATTAAAAAGAGTAGACAAGATATACATCGTTCCATTTTGTGAGTGCGGCCTTTTTGAAAATATTTTATTATTTTATAATGCATATTGTACTCTCTGCAAATAGGGTGTATGCAAAATTTCAGCAAAATCAGTTGGGAAGAATGAATTGATTGGAACTAACAAATAGCGCAAGTTAAATGAAAGCTTGTAAAAATAAAAAGCTATTCATTATTATATCACTCAAGAATGTCTGAACCGAATTTGATTATGCCTGTTTTGTTTCACGATAATTGTATAGTAGTGTATGTATGGTGCAATAAATAAATCCGTCCCTCACAATTACAGCGTTTCATCGAGGAAGCGGAAAGCTTGCTGCAGCTGCCGTCGCCAACGACGCCGACGCCGTCAGCCGCCGCCGCACATGGCCACACGCCCGGCGTCATCGGCGCGCAGGAGGTCTACCGGTACGTAATTATGTGTTACATATGTAATATACAACAGCTCTCTATGTCGAGGCTGTTTCAATGCCGAAAAACGGCTGCTTACGTAATCCTGGAATGTGAAGCTGTGGCCCATTAACGTTTAGAAATCCTCGGAACGGTGTGGTCACTCCGTGAGGCCTGTGAAGATCCCAGGAAGCTTCTGTGCTCCTTGGCGGAGCTAGGTTGGCTGTACTAGCCACAACTCATACGCACAACGGCCCAAATTAGAGGCTAAGTGCTAAGTAAATCGAGTCCTATTTTTTTTAAAATGGATGATAATGGAATGGTAACCCCACCCGCGCTATCGGTATACACCTGTGGGGCACCAGTGAAGGATGATAGGTGAGGATGAAACAGGTCAGTTAGCCCATCGTGACGAATTCAACAAGAATTGTTCACGATGGTTTCCAGGGGGAACCACGTGGAGGTCGACCTAATAAGGTATATTGCTAGCTATGGGGCTGTCAAACTCCATTGCTAACAATCTTTTCCCCCCAATGGAGTCCTATTTCACATTCACATATGTAATATATACGTGATGTGTTGTTCTACAGCGCATTGTGTGGTATGAAAAAGAGGGGCAGTGCAGCTGTCAGTGCCACATTTGAATTATTATTAACAATCCTTTTCTCCCCTTTTTATTAGGTTAAGGGATATGTTAAGACCTGGTTGAAACCGTAGTTGTAATTATTTGGCATACTTACTGTCCATAGAGACCCGCGTGCGCGACGTCTAGCCGAGCAGCAGGCGCGCGCCACCACCACGCCCATACCAGAACAACTCTCTTTTAAGGAAAAGATGAAAATGTTCGCACTAGAGTCGGGCGAAAGCTCCACGCCCAAAGATAAGGTATAAGCGTATAAACGTTATTTTATTGTTAATAATCTAGTAACTTTAAACCAGAAAATAGCTACCGTAAAAATAATAATTAAATTCACATATTTTTCTTTGTTCTACTCTCATAACTTATATTGAACATATAGTTAACAGTAATTAATATAATTGTAGAATAAATTTATTCAATTGAAAAATTTACTTGTTTATTTTCATTTTTCAATAATCAATTAATTTTTTTATCGTATGCAGGTAAAAATATCGCGCGCACAGCGGGACATTGATGCAGTACATTAACGACCTCTCAGCTGTTATTTATTAAAACAGATTATATTGCTATGTTATTCACTGGACTTTAAAATATTCTTTAAATTCAGTATTATAATATGGTATAAACACAACTATGAATTGTTATTAATGATACAGAAAGTAGACGATATATCGATACAACCCTTATGAAAACATCCGTCTTTTGAAAGTTGAGAACAGCGAAGCGGAATCGCAAGAGCTTTTTTACTAATGACATATATTCACAAGCGTGGTCCACGGATATGCCTTCACTGAAATATAGCACCAATTTTACATGTCAATCTAGATGATAAGCACTCGGTCAAACGGATAATAATATATTTTTATGGTAATGGATTTTAATGGACGTTTACGTGTCGCCTTAGCAGCTAGTGCAATGAGTTTATTGTGACAACATATTGATGCTAACGATAAATTATTATTTGGTTATATTCCAAAATGAAATATATTTTAATTATATTGTGTACGGACGGACATATTGACGGCACGTTCGAAACTGTAATTTAATTTTTCTAAATTACGTGCCATTATAATACTATGTGTAAACAGTATCATTTTTATACTTATGATAGAAATTTATTGTTAGAGAAGACCAATATAATGATTCCCAAGTCGGCGGGTGCCTTTTTGAGTACCTTAGTTAATATTATTACATATCCTACGTGATTCCTAAACTGTGCTGTCCAACTATATTTTTTATTCATGTCTACTTACATCTATAAGCTTCGTTACATTCCAAAGAGTATTTATTTCTTAATTTGAATTGCTATATTAAGAATCATTCCTATAAATCTTCTGGAATCCATTCGTTATGTGTATAACACAGTGTTTATGACGTTTATACTCTTAGTAACATTTTATATTTCATACTATATTTGACTTTCAACAAAAAGCAATAAATCATTGTGAAGCCTTTGTTGTATATAATAATTTAATGTTAAAATATAAGCACATCTTTGTGCCAAAACGTATCCCCTTGTGGCAAAGTGAGCGTTCACGGATTACTCCCTACTTAACGGCATCCACAATTTTAAGGTCACAACACTGGATAGCTTGAACTCGACGTTGATTTCTGGAATGTATGAATGTCGACTTGTTGCAATTTCCTGAGGGTCGAGTTCGTGCTAACTGGTCGCTAAGCAATTTTATATAGTGAACATCTTAAGGCACCAATTATTTTATTGTATATACTGTAGGTAGTGAAATCCCTATAATTATTACAAGGTTTTATATACCTGTTTGTATATGTAAATGTTTATTTAAAGATTAAAATTATATCCAGAGTTTAATGTGGAGAGGAGACGTGGCCTACTTGGATAAATTAGTTTAGTTCCTGGGGGATATTTTAACATTTTCCCAGTATTCACCCAACGATAGTCAATTAGCAAGAGATTGAGATTTATTTGTAGAATGGAATATTTTTATGGTATTACAATGTATGTAAATACACTTGAACAATTAGGTCTATAGCTTCAATTTATTATACAATTGTAATTCGAATAGTTTATACAAACTACTTGATATCTGTATTGCTATTAACAGTAAAAATTGTATTTCAACTCTTAAAATAAATAAAATAACAAGAGCGTTGTTATCATTTCTCTCCTTTAATATTAACTTGAAAGACTAGATTTGAAGAATTCAGCGTTAATGAAAGAGACGAAAACATTGGCGTAAAGAAGATATTATTTATCGTCGCCTGCTTTTTTCTTTTTCTAAAACCCAAAATTTTATCGGTATTAGTTTTAAGTATCAGTTTAGATATAGGAACAACTGATATATGCTATATTGAAAATAAAACACAAAAATCATTTAACAGTGTTTATATTTTGTTTTGAGGTTAATATTACGTGTGCCATGTGGCTTTTAGGTACCTTTAGGAAAAAGCACTAAAAAGATTCTAAACCATTATCAACATCGTCAGTTTAACACGTATTTAATTACATTTAAACAGAGCTGTTACGTACGATAATAATATATACAAATTACATTACGTTATTATGTGATTTAATTTAAACACCGATGTCACAACAATAACTACTGATTAGTCACTATTGTGTCCATTCGACGTTTATAATTTGTGCACTACAATAATAGAGTTATTACATTACGTCTAGAAATACAAATTTTAGGTGCAACTGAAGTGTATATTACATTACATAATTCAGAAATGTTTATTTAAATCAGTATACATTTCGGGCCTGTGGACAATTTGCAAATGCTCTAAATAGTTAATATTTATACAAGTGATATCGATTTAATAAAAAGTAAAATAATTCTATTTTCATATGTATAGAAAACAATTCATTCATACCGCTTGCTACTGGTGAGATTTCGGTGTCTCGCTCCTTGGATTATGATGGGGTATGAGTTTGTTTATAAAAAAAATAGAAACGCATCGTAGTATGTACTCTTTACTTCGCTAAGCCTTCCAACATAGTAATTGTATGAAACAATACAGTTTCATTGTAGACTAGTAGCTCTGATTTATACTAGCTATAAAGGGGTTGGCGCTCACCGACCGGACAACGCGGCAAAATATTTACATTGCCACGGCATGCAGAGTCCTGTATTATCTACATCGTTAATATCCTGATCCTATATGATCCTCTAGGTTATGATAATATAAAAAAGTATATAAATGACTCAACACTGAGACATGCCGGGATAATATAAATATGATAATGTACATTAAATATTAACCATCTTATTCATAAGAGCGTGAATTATGTAATAAAATGTGTTTCATTATTTCGAGCCACAATCTAAGTTGAATTAAAGTGACAAAACACATGAAATACTATAGAAATTATTACGTTTTTATGAATAATGCAGTAGCAGTATTTTTGATTTAACCCCAGGACATCCCATCAGTGAGCGCCGCCAGCGCTAGAATAAGTGCTAACTCATTATTAATGGAAAAGTATATTTCGTAATAATTTCTGTAAAAATATTTTTTTCTACTCTCATGTTATTTGTAAGTATCGGAATTGATCACTAATTGTACAGCTAAACAGTAGGTACTAAAGAATATAAGCCTACATAAAAATAATACACAGGTCACATTGTTATATTCCATATTATGCACTGGTTAATGTTCAAATCATAATTACTTCCTTTGGTGTATGTGCGCACTGCAGGCGACTGGCTAAGTGACTAGTGACTGGATTCAAAAGCCAAAAGTATTATATAAGACATTTTTGACCACACGATGGACTAACCTAGCATAGTGAACGTATATACACACGAGTGCTGTGTTAATTATACCTACTGCATTTCGTTACTATACTACTTAGAAACTAGTCACTAGGAGCTTAGTTTGACACCTGCTGTGTGCACATATGCATTTTGCAAATGGAAAATTTTCATCCTCTATTATTGTACACGGTAGGTATAATACGATAATATCCATAGGAACATCGGTAATTCTCTTCGTAGTTTTCAAGGACCAATGATAACGGTGCAATAATTACATAATTTTTATTCAACATTGGCTGATAGCATTTGTTATAAAGGATTTATTAGATACGTATGAATACCATACCTAATTCTACAACAAATGTACAATAACAATTTCTATATTCTCATTTAATTAACATACTTAACATTTGCCTGTCACTTATTATATACAAAAGTGATGTAATAATTTCATTAGACTTGTATGTACAAACAAAAACAATTTGGTTCAAACGTCGCGCATACTGCCACATTGTAAAACACCTATATAGTTTATCAAATATGTATATTTTTTGTAATTTCTTCAGTATGCTCCGTGCGACACGTGATGTTTATAATTCTAATTAATTTGTAAATAAACAATAAAACGATGCTTTTGTTCACTTTACTGTGTAATTTTTCCGTAAATAATTGTAATTGTAAATAATAGAAAAATACACATTTAACAATACGTTACAGAAAACAAATATATAAATTTTACAAACTAATTCCACCAACATCCACTACACAAAACGGACCAGTCATAGTTTTCCATTTGCGTATCTAACTAAAATACAGATGGAAACATTGCAAAAGGTACAAAAATAAATATTAGATCTCCTGGTCAATTTTTATTACTATATATATATATAATCTTCGATTATCAATACTCACTAGATAACGTCTCATTAACTAAAACAGAACTAAAGACCATCGCCCGATTATATTATTTAAAAGAAACTTCTATAATAAACAAATTAATTCAAATTCAAAATAAGAATTCACGTTGCAAGTGAGGTACTATTTGGTCGACTGTTTATGATACTGTGCCGACGCCGACGTCTAGTAGTATTGATGATCGATGTTCGAACATTAAATTTTAAATTAGTTCACAGTATCTATATATAAACTGAAAAGTAAATGCAAGTATGTTAGATCACATCTCCACAAGCACCAGCAGTAGTGGTCCGTGCACTGTCCATTATTTATAATATATTATGTAGAACTATATCTAACCGTATGTATTTATATCACACGCACAATCGCACATTAATACCAATACAATATTCAACAATGGAAGAGTCATCAGAAGCCCTGCGTTCATTAGAACCGTCTATGAAAAATATACATAATCTATTAATAATTTGTAACAAACAACGCTCTGTTAAATGCCGCTTCCGTAAATCATACTCGTGTATACATATAATGTAAGTATAATAATATAAATGTATGTGGCACACAATATCGGCCGCCGACGCGGGCGGAGGCGCTATATTCTCATCCCCTCACAGAGGAGAAAACAATTATGGACAACACAATTGTATGGATACATGAATTCATGAAATTAAATTATTCATAAATCAAATCATAATATATCATATAAAAATAGTCTTGAAATAAATTCGAATGGACACAAATGCACAGCTTTAATGGAAGATATATTAGGGAATGCATTTCAAAACGTGTATCCATATTCTAATATATATTTATATTGATATCAAACTTATAAAATTGACTTAAACAATATGTATAACGTATATCTTATACACACATTCCATTTCACTTACGCCTATGTAATATATTTTGTGGCACTAATAAACAGATCAATCTCGGTTCGTCCATCTCCATTATAATGTAAGTGCACCACTATAGTACCTATGCTATGTATATGTTTGTATGGGTGTAAAAGGTTTCGCAGCGTGCGGGAACGACTATAATTGTTTATCAAATGTGCTCATCGAATGAATCACTGGTACACACACACAAAAAAATGTTCCTAAAGTTATTGCTTCCCATAGCTCGCTCGCGGGACGCTTCTACGAGTAATGTATGTGCTAACCTATACACGGCTAACGTACTCGTTATATTAATGTCGCCTAAACTTGCTAATGACTTGTACTATATTATTATATTAAAATGAAGTAATTATTCATAGGGAATATTGTTACAAATCCAAGGCTGAACGTTCACGCTTTCACTACACGAAAAACGCCACACAATTTTGTACTCGTCGTCGATAACTTTACAATTTACATACAAATATTCTCGCTGTCATATAATGAATGATGCTCGATGAATAAAATATAGATCAAGTAAACAAATTAATCTTACGACATCCGTTCACTAGTGTCAGTCGCAGTCGAACAGCGTTCAGCTCTCGTGGCGTTCTCGCGATAGCGTCACCGCAAACGTTCCCATCGTCCTTCAATTCGGGGGTTCCCGAATCGCAACCGCGTCTAATAAGATTTTGTACAATTTAGTGACTACACGTTATGACCTAAACGAAACGCTCCGCCGCTAGGAGGGTGCAGGTCGCGGTGCAGCGGCGGGCGAGCGGTTCAGGCGGGGGGGTGGTGTCGCGGGTGCGGCGGCGTGAAGAACTGTCATTGCGGCGTGTCGCGGGCGGCGCTCCAGCGGTCGAACTCGATGCCCGAGTCCGGCGACACGCCCGCCGGCGGCGCGCAGCCGCACGCCGCCACGCGGCCGGCGCCGGCCGCCGCGCCGCCCGCGCCGCCCGCGCCGCCCGCGCCGCCCGCGCCGCCCGCGCCGCCGCCCGCGCCCGCGCTCGCCTCGCCGCCGCGCGCCTCCAGCTCACGCACGCCCAGCTCCGCCAGCACCTGCGCCCACACACGCTACCGTCACACACTCGCCTGCCGCCGCGCGACCGCTGCGACGTTCGCTCTGCGCGTCCGCCACGTCCGCGCAGGGCGAACCGTTAACTGTGTGACGTAGATACAATGCAGACCTTACTCAGGCTGGCGCTGTGCTCGTGGAGGCCCAGGTCCCGCTCGAACGAGTGCAGCTGGCGCATGAAGTGGAAGTTGGGCGCGATGTCCGTCTTGCGGCTGCGCACCAGCTCGAAGGCGTCGCGCAGGCAGAGCCGGTGGCGCTGCATGAGGTACGCGAGCGTCACCGTCACCGAGCGCGACACGCCCGCCACGCAGTGCACCAGCACGCCGCACCGCGCCGACATCGCCTCCTCTGTGGTGTTGTAAAGTTACAAGTTAATACGATGAAAATAATAATTAATATACAGAATACTTTTTTCTAACATAGAAAATAAATAGTCCATATCGATTGATTCAACCAATCAGTATGATTAACACACTTAACGAATCAAATTTCAGCAGATCAAATGGTTACAACAATACATACAGGTGCGGTTAGGGAATTCATTGATATTGTGACCATCGTATTTTTGTGAACATAAAAGAAATGCAAAATGTGTTTAACGAGTTGGTGAGAGATCATTTAATTTGATTCTTAGGTGACTCTATAAAAAATTAAAGAGCTATCTATAAAACCACAAAATATTCTTTAAATATATTATGAATATTATACCTTACTAATAAATAGTTACTAAATATACCATAGTAATATATAGGCCTTACTAACCGATAAACCGTATAGCTTGTGGGAAGTGAACGGCGAGGTTCTGGCTCCAGTGGTCAGCGATAGGTATCTTCAAGTAGTTGATGCCGCACCCCTCTGCCTCGAACGTGTTGGGTAAATCGGGTGTTACGTTCAGTACGTACTGCAAATAGATATTAATATCGATATTAGAAGTAGAAACGAAAATGATAAAAATCTAGCAAGTGTGTCGTATAATCGAACCACAAGCGAGAGTATGATGCAATCGTAGCATGAATTAAGTAGTTTATTTATTTAAAAAAAAAAAAGCTTACATATTACAGTTTTTAGGCAAAATTACAACTTTACTTTCCTGCAATCTATATACAATATACATACATATAATTAAACTGTAACTAGACATTGTCTGTAGTATGAAATAATTAAGAAAACTTGACATGAGGAGTATTAATAAAAGCAATATGTCTTCTATTGCTCTTATTAAGATACTAATAACTATTTTTTTTTCTGTATGGCTCTATGTTTGTTTCAACATCGCGCTATCAACACAACAGTGTTCCTGAAAGTCGAATATAAAATTCGGTATAGACAAAATCTAAAAGTATGAAATCGCAGGCAAAAGGTAATATTTAAATAAATCCATTGAATTGAATATCAAAGTACCTAGTAATCTACAGAAGCAGCAATCTACATAAAAATATTTTTATCTAATCTCAGATGTTACGTTACGTATATAAATTTTATCTAACAATCGCTGCGGATTTGAAACCAATTAAATGCAAAACAAGTAAGCGCTCTAGTACATTTTAAATATAAAATCTTTGCTATACATTTTTTATTTTACGATTAATTATTTGCGCTTATTGTTTAAGCTTTCAATGTGATCTTTTGCGCGAACGTTTTCGTGACGTTTCGCCCATGCCGCTGATAAAGACGTAATCAAACGTAAAAAATATAAAAAAAAGTTCTGCGTCAAAGCTCTTTTGACGTAACACTTTTTTAGATTTCTAATGACACCTATTTGATAATTGGAGGCAAAATTACGTCTTCACATTGTGCGTACATCTACTGATAATAGATTTGTCTATTCTCATTTTTTGTGCATTGCGCAACCAGAAAGATAAGTTATACGTATTTAATATAAGAAATCTGGCTCGAACGGCTATAGTAGTAAACTCACGTACGTTGTATTCTAATATGATTGGTGAAATGAATTATTAATTTTTAATTAACCACAGAATTATTAATTGATAAATACTTCTGACGGGGGGGGGGGGGGAGGGGGGTCGTTAGTAATGCAGACTACCAGTCCTTTAGCTAGCAATATATCCTATCAGGTCGACCTCCACGTGGCCCCCTTGCAAACCATCGTGTTGAATTCCAGATCTATTCATCACTTTTCATTCTCACCTATCATTCCTTGTTGGTGTCTTTCCAGTATATACCGTTAGTGCAGGCAGAGAGAGCATTCCATTGTCATCGGATAAAAAACATTCGATATATGATAGAGTACCTCTCTATCATATCACTATTGCTTATAGAACGTACCTTTATATTGTGCCTAGCGAGGGCGTCGCAGTCCTCGCTGTTGGTCGAGTTGCCGAGGTACAGATTGGGCAGGATCTCGATGGGGAACTCCTGCTGTGTCTGGGTGTGCGCCTCCTCGCACTCCGACGACGAGCCCGACGATAGGCCCTCCTCGCAGCCAGAACCCGAGATGCGAAGTGATCTGCAAATTTAAAAACAAACGTTGTCTATGAAATTGTTCTCTATTTGGATAACCTGTATTATTTTAACATATCTGTACTGTAAGAAAAGTTTATAAAAAAAAAAATGATGGGTCACAATAAGAACAATAAAAGTCGAAACAAGTTTTTTTATTTCTGTTTATCTATATGTATGTTTCAAGATCATGTAGAAATTACCAAAAATCTACCATGAATTTGATTCCGAAAATACGAAATTGATTCCGAAGTTACGAAATTTTGGAATCAATTTTGTATTTTTGTTCCTAGATTGCAGAACAGTTATTAGAGTATCAGTAAATAAGGGGTCGTCCTTGAAGTACTTTTTAAACCGACTTCAAAAATAAGAAGATTCTCAATTCGGTTGTATTTTTTTCTATGTTTGTTACCTCATAACTAAGTAAATTTTAAATCAATTTATTTTTTTTTTTTTTTATTTGAAAGGAAATACTTACAGATGGGTCTTATAGAAATTTTATCAAATTTGGTTCGGTAGCTTAGTTTTTAAATAACTAGTTTTGCCAGAGTTGACAAATACAAAAGTAGTTGTTTTTTTTTTGTGGGACACAATCTTTAATTATTTGTCTAGTCAAATATAATACAGTGAATAACGCAATTTATGGGGGTAAAATATTGTGCGCGTGACGAATATGTCTGTTATTCTATCAATTTTTTTTTATATATATATACACAACACTGTATATAAAAACAAAATATATTAGTCTCAAATTAAGTATCGCATAGTATGTACTATTGATATTAGAGAGCTGCGACGTACTTTCTTTGTCAATACACACATAAACAAATACAATATACAAATAAATAAACATTTGAATTTTATGAGAATTGAACTTCCAATCATTGGAAAGTATGGCGATGCTAAACTACTACACCATCAAAGTTGTCGACGACTGTCAATCTGTGACGTCGTCACTTTTAATAATACACACAAAAAATAATATTAGACAATGTTAACTAATTAATAAATTTTATTTATTAATTATGTAGTATTATATATATATAGAAACGTCATTTTGATACCAAGATTCCAGAATATTATAAAAGAAATTAAAATTTTAAATAAGTAATAGAATGGTAATAAAGACCTACCAGAAATACAGAAATTTTTTTTTATACCACTGAGGTGGCAAACAAGCATACGGCCCACCTGATGGTAAGCGGTTACCGTAGCCTATGAACGCCTGCAATACCAGAGGTATTACGCGCGCGTTGCCGACCCTGAAGAAACCTCTTTACCCCCCTTTTGAAGAACCCCATGCTGTAGTCTAATCTAATCTTTCATATTACAAACAGAAATGGAAGAAGAAATTTATATTTATTTATATATTGTGATATAAAACAAGCTTATTTATGTATTGCAGGAAAACTATACTATGGACTATACTAATAGTAGCTACTAACTTAAACTGGAATTATAAAAATCCGCTAAAAAATTTTCACAAACAGTAACAAAATAGTTTACATATTTATCAACTATATGTAAAGCAACAGACATCTGACTAATAATAAAATTGCAACTAGACGAAGTAAATGAGTCATATTAAAAAAAAAAAAAAAACTGATATGAGGGGTCTTAATAAGAGCAATAGGAGTAGAATTCCAAACAATGTTTTTTAGAAATTTAATCTGTCTGTAAGCACGTTAGTTCCGGCATCACTAAAAATTAATGCATCAAACTGGATGCGGTTGTGTTCTGTTCCTGAAGGTCTATCTTCAAATCTGGTATATGTTTGGTTGCTATTATGGTTGGAAGATATTTACACGTCATCAAGAAGTGGTCCTATTTCATTGGTTTTCTACTGAATCCCACTCGTGCGAAGTAGCAGGCGAAATACGAGTTTATTGTAATAATATTATTTACCTATATTATGTTGTTATAATTAGACAATATCTTACTCATATTATTACTTGATTACTTGCTCTACGATAATATAATAATAACATGTATGATTACTTAATAACTAATTTGTTATGTAATCTTGCAGATTACTAATAATATAATTATTAAGTTCCGAGTTAGTTTTCGTTAGTTTATATCTGGAACGTTGTAACGAAACCTAATGAACAAGATAATCCAATAACGAAGGTTACCCATTAAACAGTATAACTAATGCGTTTAGTATCAATCACGTGATGGTGGCATGGTGACCACTCGTATACATGAAGCCATAAATTACTGGATGCGCTAAGGAACCTTCCTCATTATTTATGAAAGTTTCACTTAATTTTTAGTAGATATTTCTAAAAATTACATGTGACTTATTCATTAGAAATATTTTTTCCAGATCTTTCTGTCTTTGCTGTCAATTGTCTTAAAAATTCCTTTCTTAGTGTTATCTATTTTATACTGTTAATTTTTTTTAAATGGAATTTTTGAATGGAATTTCATAATGGAATGGTAACCCCACCCGCGCTATTGGTATACACCGGCGGGGCACCAGTGAAGGATGATAGGTGAGGATGAAGCAGGTCAGTTAGCTCACCGTGACGAATTCAACAAGAATTGTTCACGATGGTTTCCAGGGGGGATCACGTGGAGGTCGACCTAATAGGGCATATTGCTGGCAATGGGGCTGTCAAACTCCATTGCCAACAATCCCTTTCTCCCCTGTACTGTTTATTGTTATTTAATATATGTTTCTATCAGCTATTCTTTTTTTACCGATTGAAGAGTATCAACTAGGTAGTAGACACGCGAAAAGTCAAAAACAGTTCAAAATTGTATCAATTTTATGTTCACAGTGCACACTCAATTTGAGTGCAAGTTGCCTTGATGAAAAACTGGAATAATCAGAAGTCCAGTCAAGATATAAATACTTTTTTCTCTAAAATTTGTGTGTTCTAGTGTTCTGAATGTTTCACTAAGGGAGAATTACGTTTAAAATAGCATTGTTTTACGCGGTAAGTTCAAAACTTATCTATCGGTTCGTAGCTGGGTGGCGCGGCGCGGCCCGGCAGACCGGGCGGGCCGGGCGGAGGCAGCGATCGATCGCGGGCTGCTCAATGGGGGAAGAGGCTCCGGGGGTTCACCATTCAACCTGCCCCCGCGGCTCAATGGCCGCCCACACAGTGCCGCGTCCTTACTCTCGCCCCCTCCCCCGCCCCTCGCCCGACGACCCTCACCCCTCACGTTTCCCGCGGCCTTCACGGTGCCCCTCGACTCCAACGCGTCTCCTCCCACGCGACACTTTTCCAAATTCGCCCTCTCAATCGTCTCACCGCCATTCAGTTTGCTGTTTTGAAAGCAATCAAATTAAGCGAGCACGCTGCCTGCCGTCCAGTCGCTTCATAGATAAAATGTTGATAACATACCTAACACCTACGCGTCGAAACGACACGATCAGAGGCCAATCACTTTCGATTATGGTATTATTATTATTATTTATGCTATTCAATAATATTCATAAGATTTACATCAAATTTCATAAGACCAACACCGAACTTGCATATATGCCGACAAGCATTCTTAAAATGTAGAACCTAAAATAAATGAAAAACATACTTGTAACCAGTACATACATAATATTTTCTACCATATTCAACCTCAAAGATGACTATTTTGTGACGCTCATGACTTCACTCGTGTAAAATTTTTATGAAATCACATAAATTAGCCCGTCCTTGTGCTTTTCGACTATTTTGATCAAACTAAATTAGGTATTTTTAATAGTCATGAAAATATTACAAACGAACAGTTCATACGCTTACTTATTAACTCAATTGAGTTCAATCATTAAACCCATTTAAAGACATGGTATAAAAGTTATGTACAAACCGCGTTTTAATAAAACGCTACCAATGGAGCACTACCTGTCGCTGCCAATAACAGCAAATTAGATCAGTGCCATACGAGCGTTGGTGGTCGGTTGGTCATCTAGATAATTATTCAGTGAACAACGAGTGGGTAGCACACAGCAGGTACTATGTGCCTGAGTAGGCATAGGCACATGGTAGGTGCCGGTGCCGGTGCCGGTGCGACGTGGGGCGTGGGGCGTGAGGGCGTGCAGCGTGCGGCGTGGGCTGAGCGTGGGCGACGACCATCCGACACGTCCATTCAGGGGAGCTCGCCCACGCGGCCCCGACGCCATTCCAAACGATCTGATAATGGCAACGACACTATTCCGTTTACCTACATGTGATCTCGATTCATTAGACCGGCTTGGACTGAGCAATAGATGCCGATTAGATACAATCGGGACTATGAATATATTATAACGCCATTGATAAAGAGCACGTCGTTCATTTAGTTCAAAACAATATTTGCTCTCGGAACATGTATACTGGTGTGGTGGGCTGGTAGCATTGTGTGGCTGACAACAGCTACGTGCGAATTGAAAGCGTATTTCAATAGCGATGGGTGTCGAGCATTCGAGCGGCCACCGGAAGTCGTGACGCGCTCGGCCGTGTTATTAATGAACGACTTCAATATGTATGGAGTGGCGGTGCCTCCTCGGAGGCATCCGACTCGCCCGAATTGTATATATGCTCTAACCGGCCAGTTTGTACGTCAGCGGGATTCGTCATCTATAGGTCGGTTAGTAGCGTGTAGAGTGAGTTCGGCCGGTCGGCCGGTGCGTGTGGGCGTGCGAGTGCGTGCGGTGCGCTGGCGCACAGGAATGCGGACCGACCCACCGGCTGCCAATGACCGCCTGCAAGGGACGGTTTTTTAATGCCGGTCTCGTTAGTTCTCATCCTGGCAGGATTTTTAACGAGCCGAGTCGCCCGAACAAAGAGTCTGTCTGAATTCTGTTTTTATGACATGGTCAGAAGTTATGCACATAGAGTTTAATCTGTTTAAGAATTATGCCTGACATTGCTTGAGAATTACTGTATTTAAGCAAGTGTGTCGAGGTCGTAGGCTACTCTCGCACACCTACACTGTGTGTGGGGTAAATTTTCCAACGCTCTATTTTGAGGTAGCCTCGGTTGAATGACGTACACATAGAATATGTAGTCGGTGAGC